ATATGTGAATTAAAAATTCAGAAGTAGTCAGATTAAAAAGAGTTTCAAAAGGCAGACAAAGAGGCTGCTTCACCAAACATAGAATCAGGGTATAAATCCAGCATGGGGTCAAATGAAAATGGTTCAGGGCTAGGCTAGCCTGTAAATCAATAAAATCAGCTACTTGGACAGGTGTGGTGGTGGGAGAACAAAGAAAGGTACAGCAGGATCTCCAGCTCCATGCAGAAATGCAGGCCCAGCATTCCCAGTTCTTCCACTTTTCCAAAAGAAGCAAAACAACAACAAAATCGAATTTTTATATGGAATCCCACAATATTTTTTATATATAATGTGGGATGCACACATAACCCCCCAAAATAAAACCTGTCTTCTGACTCAAGGTGACCCATCAGACTAAATTTGTAGCTCTACAAAACTTACATGATGTGTGAATGATACAGTCTTCCTACTTTTATGTTTCAGTATCCACTTCTTTGTAGCCTATTCTCGATTATGTTTATTATCCATCATCTTCCATATAATTAGTTGCTTGCATTAGCTTTAAAGGGCTAATTATTTTCGAGAAATGGAAGCTATCTTTCCATTTTCTGAAAACAAACTTGATTTCACAGTCCAGCTGCTCTTGCTGACGGTTTCCCATGGTTGTTTCATGCATTATGTAGGGTAGGCTTCATGCTATATAAAAAAAACAAAATCCACCCAGGAGTTCAAGACTTTCACACAACAAAAATCTAATTCTATCACATGTGGCTGATCCCAGTTGGTTGGCTTTCCTGACTGGCTTTCTTTTAGGCTCCTTCTATCTCATGCCTCTGCCTCCCCTGGATTCCGGAGTCTTTTTCTTTAGAATTAAAAAAGGAAAACACAGAGAATGAAGAGCTACTATGAGTTTTATGAGCCAGACCTACAAAGGGATATGTGTTACTTTGACTTTCATTGCTCTTAATTCTGCCATAAATAAATTGAACTTCAAAAGAAGCTGGTAATGAAGTCTAGATTATGTCCAGGAAGAAACAGGAATTGAGTTGGTAAATGAACTTCCGGGCACTGCCTCATTTTTCAAGCAGTATTTGTTATCATCCAGCCATTGATTCCTCACCTCAGAACCAAATCTGAAGGTCTTCTTTCATTGTTAAGGCCAAACAAGGTTGAAATATTTAGGCTTAGCTAACCATTGGCAGCAGTCGCAGAACTCACTTTTCCAGACTATTAATTCAACTCTAGCAAAACATAGATTCATCTGTTCTCTCCATTCTTCTGAAACATGTGAGATATTCTACCTGCAAAGCTCAGTAACACAAATTTGGTAAGTCACCTTTTGTCCATATTCCAGGCTTAGTTCTTTTTCCTATTCTTTTAATGTCACCAATTATTTAAAGTACACTCAATATACTTCACTAGTATCATTTAAAAGAGTAACTGAATGTCATTTACTTGTATTTCATACCAGAAAACAGGCTCATCAAATACCCTCATGGGGGTAACACCTTTGATCAAGGCAAGGTTTAATTAAACAAATGATTAGCACTAAGACATGGCCAAAGCATAAATGTTAATGAAATATAAAGAGGACTTTCTTTTCTTTTCTGTACAATGAGTGCTTTGCATTAGCTAGCCTCTCTGATCCTGATAGTCCACTCATTCAAAGAACAAGTCCATGAGCATTGTCGGCAACAGGACAGAGTAAGGCCTAGTCAACTGTGTTGTAGTGTTGCAGAAATCTCAGAAAGAAATACATAGAGACACAGAATTCAGATAAAATAATAAAATTTCTTCTCGCGAGTGGGCCAAACGTCAGAAACCAGTCTGGTCAGTGTCCATGCCCTCTTTGTTCAGCTTTCCCTTTTTATATCCTTTTTAGCCATTATCTCATCCCTAGTGGTCTTTGATGTGTAAATACAATTCCAGTTCCTATTTACAAGATAGGCCATATACATTGTAAATTCACCCTGGTATGGTAACTTTGCTAGGTTAATGAAGTTACTGCTTAGAGTCAGATAACTGTCACCCTAAACAAAGAGTTACTGGGAAAAGCAAATCTTAAAAGAACACATTACTTATTTTGCTTCTACAACTACCTTAATATTCAATCTATTAAGTTATCTAAAACTTTTCTGTATCAGTAGTGCTAATCTACTGCGATGCTCAAGCTAATAACAAATAGGATGTGTAACTGGTTCCAAACTTCTAAACTGTGACCCACCAGTTTGACCTGAGAGATTGATGGCTGAAAATCATGTAGAAAGATAAGAAGAAATGAAGCTATTTGCACTGATTTGAAGCCTCATAGGCATTGAAGTTATATTTTTATAGTATGTGCATGACTGCCTCAGAAAAGTTTCTAAATTCAGTAATTATGTATTCTGGCTCACAGGATTTCAAATACAGTATCAGATGACTGACAGAGCAGAGAGGACTGAAATAAGTTTCTCACATGAATTCCTAAGATAATCAGCTAGTCTGATTTTTATCTTCTGGTTTATCATTCTTGAGGTTCTTTGTGTTTATATAAAATACTTTTCTTCCAACGCATTTGCTCTTTTTATATTTCAATGTTTTTCAACTAACAATTTATGAAAAAATTTTTTATGATTATTACTACGATCATATGAGACTAGGTGCACCAAGTAGAATATATAATTAATTTTACTCATTTTTCTCATAAATATGCCTGTTATTTATTCTTTTATCCGTTCTTTTGGATTTGGCCTCTACTTAGTCAAAATCTGACTCTTGATAAAATTCCATCTTATATTGTTCCCCAAAATAAAATGATGCTTATTTCTAAAAATGACAAACATCATTTAATTAAATCAATTAATTATAGATGACAGGTTTTCCAAAATGCATTTAATTATCTATAATTGAAATACTACTAGGGTTTTTTGGAAGTTATAGTTTGTAAAAATTAAAATTTCAAAACTTCCAATTTTTAACTGCATTCATTTTCAAAAAAAATTATTGCACTTTAATTTTTCATTTTATTTTATACCATGTAAATGCAAATCACCGAAATCATTTATCTTAATTTCTGACCACACATGTTTGCAATTCCTTTAGTTCTTCTTTACATTTATATAGTCCTGAGTTTTGTAGATATTTTTCGACCATAATGAAAAAAATGAACCTTTCACAAATTCAGTAGACCTCAACACCAAAAATAATAGTTTAAAAAAAGTTTAAGTTACTATTAATGTGGCAGAGGAAGCCTTACATTTGGAACTAAGTTCTTTATAATATTTTCTTCTCTTTAGCCTAAATGTCTTATAAATTTTACTTGAAAATGTTATCAAAAAAGGAATGAAGCCAGGCACGGTGGCACATGCCTGTAATCACAGCACTTGGGAGGCTGAAGCAGGAGGATCCCTGCAAGTTCAAGGCCAGCCTGAACTACACAGTGAGTCAAGGCCAGCCTGAAGTACATGGTGAGACCCTGTCTCAACAAAAAAAGAAATAAAGGGTGGAAAGGAGGGAGGAAAGGAGGAAGGAAAAAAAGAAGGAAGAGGCATCTTTCTACGAAACATCATTTTACACACGATAACATTTTAAACATGTAGAAGGATAAGATAAGAAAGAATTTTTTAAAGTTAGAACCACCGTAAGTATCCTTTATGAATCTAGTGGATGAGGTCATGCTAACAATTGCAAAAGCCCACATAATACATAATTGCAGAACTGCTTGTCTTCCCACCTTGCACAGAAATTCTCAACATTTGCCAAAGGAAAGAAAAGAGATGACACTTTGAAATCATATTAGCAGATAAGTTAAGGCCGTGTCAAAGACATGGATATAATTCTAGTCTGGAAGAGAGTTAAATCATAAATGTATCATCTCAGATTAAATGGCTTTTGTTAGTAACTGTTAATCCCTCAAGAGAAATGCTTGGAACATGATTTATTCAGTAAAGTTATAAAACAAAGTAGGAAGCAAAATAGTCAATGAACACTCTGAAATAAATGAGTTACGATGGAGAGTCCATGTTATTCACTGATGTCCAGATCTGAGAAGACCCTGAGAATCATCTCCAGTGTGAGTTCATCAAAATGAAGAATTTACCAGTAGTTGGTCTGCAAGTAATTCCACATCTCATGGTATGATCAAAGGTGAACCTAATAAAGCCCTAGGTGATACAGATCTTTCTGGCTTTTGCTGTAGATGACAGATAGATTATTGTTGTTTAATATGAAAGCACATTGCCGAATGGGCAGAATTTTGTTGAGAGTTTGAGTTAAGAATTGTAAAAAAAAAAATTTTAATGGCTCTTTCTTTACATATTATTGGAAAACAGTCATTGTGTTACTGGGTTGGGCGTCTTGTCCAGGTTCTTGATGTCCTAAAAAAGCACTGAGAAGGACACCTAGGAGCAGCACTAAGATCAAAGATTTATTTGAAAGAGAAAAGACAAGATACACTCCATACAAGTCAGTGAGAAGAGCTCATGGTATTGAGGGGCTTGGTGTTGAGCATTTTAAGCCTTAGGATTTAGGCTGGGGTTGAACATCCTGACTCAGCCTCTCATCGTGCTCTGGAGTTTCTGACCTTTTATGGCCCTTCGAGGAACGGTCTCGGCCTCCAAAGCCAGGGGTGGGAAGATGTCAAATCTGCATAGTCAGTGACATAGTAATCAGGGTTGGGGTTGGCCACAGGCCAGAAAAGACCACTGGGTGCATGCCCAGAGATTTATTGTGGATAAGCTAAGTTACCTGGTTACTTTTTTCCCTTGTGTTTAGACCTAGGCCTCTGGGCCCTGGGCTAATGTCTAACTCAGAAGACGAATCTAGACCCAGAAAGCAGGCTCCCAGGTGGGTGCTCCCTTTGGGCCCAGCTGTTTCCTTGGTTACCTTATGCCTCTGATCTAACCGAGAAAGCAGGCTTCAAGGTAGACTGACCATCCGTTCCTTCTCCAGCCTTTTCCTTAGCTAGCTCCTTGCTTTCCTAGTGTGCCAGGGCATCTGAATGTATGTATTTCATCAAAACATGCAGAGACCATGTGGAAAAATACATTTAACATTAACCAGTATAGTTTATTGATTAATCCTTAGAAAAGTGAAATTAAACACAGTTCATCAATAATGTTTGATGGGTATTATAATATGAATCCTAAAGAATTATTAGGTTTTGAAGCACAGTATATTTGATAAAATCCTTATCATTATTTTAGGAGACTCAATATGGGGGGAAAACCCCACTTTCCTCATCCAAAAGTCAATTTTACATTTGTTAATGAAAGAAAAGGAATTGTTGCTAGTTTTGAACACTGATCACTTCCTTAATTACACATAAAGCAGATTATAAAAATACAGGTGTGAGAAGTCAACTGGAGCAAAAGCAATAAATATTCTCCCATTTGCTGTCACTTACTTGTGCAATGGCTCCTTAATGGTAGCTAACATGAAAATGAAGATGCCATATTCAAGGGACTTTGGCCAGGAATTATGGGTAGCAATTTCAAGCATAAAAATCTGATTTAAAAATAAATATATTCCTGAAAGCATACTCACAATCCTCTTTAAAAATTTAAAAAACATTTTATTTGGAAGTTTTATACAAATTGAATATTTATTATTTCTCCTTTTCTTTGGTACTTTTGGTATATAAAGAAAACATGATTATTTTTACCAACACCCATATAAGACATCTCCCAAGTCCCTCAACTTTACCCCAGTATGCCACATAGATATGATCATTCTCTGTGTGACGTTGACAGGAAGTCCAAGAAATCCTATGTGTAGCCTGGCAGTGTTGAATATAGAATTATTCAGATATGTAGTATATTTAATGAGGCTCGAGATACCTTCATGCAAAAGTAGTGAAAGTGAGCCAGAAAAACTGATAGAGTTACATAAAGTCTATCTTTACAAAATTGTTTTGAAAAATAAAGACTTCTATCATGTTTTTAAAAGTTAAAACACAAAACTGAAGAACTCCTCAAGTAAACAGTGATCAAAAATGATATACTTTGGGTCAGGGATTTGGCTCAGTAGTGCCGTCGCTTGTCTCGAAAGCGCAAGGTCCCAAGTTCGATCCCCAGTGCGAAAAGAAAAAGATATATTTCAATCTCATGCCGTAATTGTAATTTATCATTACCTTGAGGAAATATCAGATATTAAAAGCCAAATGAGGGCTGGGCATTTAGCTCAGCGGTTCCGGCGCCTGCCTTACAAGCGCAAGATCCTGAGTTTGATCCCTGGTACCAAAAAAAATTAAAAGCCAAATGACTACTTCATATACTAATGTGAATTAGTTCTTTTAAAGAAATGGTTATATTGAGGAATCGGTCAATTTCTCTCCCTTTTCTTCTGTTCTTGTCTTGCTAATTTCCCCCAAAATACGTTTGTTCAGATAAACCAAAAGGGACGTTTTTCCACCATGTCCTCTAGGGGTCTCCCACCGGGGAGCTCCCATAGAATCCAAGAGCAAGCACACTCTTGTCTTGCGAAGGGCACTACGGGGTCCCTAACCGTCCACTGGGAGTGACACCAGACCTTGAAGCCTTCAGAGATAGGCACCAAGCCAGAACATGCTGGGCTATTTCCCCAAAATATGTCTCATCACATTTAGTACCCAGTTATGTAGTATTTTCAGTCCAGAAAACATGAAGGTGACATATCCACAATAATGGTCAGCAGCAAATAATTCCTCCAGAGGAAAAGGAGAGGAAAGGCATCTACTGTGTAGGCTGCAATGATAATAAAAGTCTTATAAGCAATGCTTTGATATTTGATTTACATTAAAAATATTTGAAACAAAATCTCTCAAGCCAATAAGAGTGGCTGGAATGTAAGAAACTTACAATAGTAGTAGCAATAATAATAATAGCTAATGTAATTAAACCCTATCATACTATTTTATAATCAGGTTATCATAGACAGTCTATCTCTAGATCTTTTGAAACCTTAATAAATACAAAGTTTGTAGAAAACATAACCTTATTGAAATGTCTCATATTTAATTTAAAGCTGAAATTAAAACCTCAGTCTACATAGCAGCTTCTAAGTCATCAAAAACGTATTAAATTCTATACTCTCTTTGGTTATCTTCCTTAATTCCAATCCTGACAAAAATAAGTGAATTCAGGACATAAACATCAGATACATTGTATCTGGCCAGAAATTACAGTATTACTAAGTATATTAAAAATGTCTACCATTACGTAAGAACTCCGAACTAGTAACATAACTTTGAATTCATGTACAACTTAAAAAACTAAACATTTAGGAAAGGCAATAATGATGTAAGGTATACTTTACAATGAGAATCATGAGTTATCCAATATGGTTTTCAAACTGTCAGTAAAAGATCAAATCCAACACAAATATATTGCAAATAATATTTTGAAAGTAGCTTTAAAATATCACATGGAATTAAAATATTGCAAATCACTAGTGGATTGAGTTATGCAACAGTTATTTCAAACAACCAGAGGCACAGTTAGTACTCACATACAATATAATACAGACATGTAGCAATTATAAATATATTATGCTAAAGAACTTTAATTTTTGCTAGTTAACAAAGAATCCCTTTAAGTCATTTTTTGGCATGGTGCTAAAGGCTCTGTCAAGACTGAACATAGGGTGTTGCTTATTCAGGAGTTCACAGCATGTAGTACTGAGTCTTCAAGTAGATATACAGTTAAAATGTAGGTTTGTTCATATATTCTTCCAGTGTCTGAAAGAGAACAATGAATTAGAGCAATTTTCTCTTTTAAATTACATCCTTTTGCAGACTGTGAGATCTTTTTCATTCTTTTATACTTTTTTTGCTATTACTGACAAAAGTTTTCAAAAGCATATATGGACCTAAATATTTGCGTTCTAATCAAGAAAGGTGGTTCAAAGTTTGAGTATCGTTTGTATGCACAACCATATGCCTGGAACTACATAACTTTCAACTGAGAAAAAGCTAAGCTTGGTCATAAAATGAATGTCTGATAAGAGAAATCCAAAAGCAACAGCTGCCAACATGTCACTGTTGATTTAAGATAAATGTCTGCTAAAATGATCATGGAGATCACATCCAGGCACATGTACTGAAAAAACCTCAAGTCATCTTGTATAACATATGTATTGTTTCCTATATTGTGCAGAACATCTTTATTACACTTACCGCCAAGGCATAAAAGATAAACACACCATGATTCTAAAGAATTTCTGGCATGTGTTTTGAAAAGGCTTTCCTCCAAAGTATACAAAAACTGTCTCTCTATCCTATTCATCAGTTACCAAGTTTGCTAACAAGCCAGAAGGGCATCATTTTCTTCCAACACTTCTTTTTTGTATGTCTGAAAAGATTCACAACTACAAGTCATTATACAGTGAAGGTGCAAGCCCTGTAGTGTACAAGAGGATGTACTTTCTCTTACGCTGCCTCCTACTGGGGGCGTGTGTTTGTATAACACCATAGCTGCAGGTTGAATCAATAAGAGAGCCCAAGGAGGGCCGCATGTTATCCCTAGGCAACATCCTTCCTTTTCCATCTGAATCACCATCAGCAACTTAGTAATCAAAGCTTGACTTGTTCTAAGGCTTAGACCAAGTATGAGACTCCTTGGAACCTGCCAGGAAACACTGACACATCGCCTAAAGAGACCAAATCAGTCTTTCCAACTGCTTTTGCCTGCTCTCTGTAGAATTCCTGGGCTCTACTGCTCAAAATTCTTATACTCAGTCATCCACAGTTTCTTCTGAAGCTCTGAACCCTCTAAATGAGCACTGCCCTGTGCCTCTTCCTGAAGATGCCACCCATGTTTATTAATTTAGCTGGGGTAGCACATTGGCCAGAGCCCACATTAGCTTTGAGGAGCTTAGAGCTCATGCCATTTAAAAAGGAACACAAAGTCACAGATACAAATTTAGGTGTAAAGTTGATTTAGAGTGAAAAAAGAAATGACAGATTACTAATATTCGAAAGATCATAAATATCACAAAATCCAGAACAATAGTATTTATTTTCACTAACTAAATGCTTGATCCTCCTCTATAATATCTCATGTTCATTGATGGCTTTTCAGTTAACATATCTAACTTTTGCAAATCTGACTAAAATGTACAACTAAGCACATTGCCAGGCCTTTTCTGCAGCTTTGAAGACTCCTGAGCCAGTCAGGGGCCCTGGTTTGGGACACAGCTCATACCACCAGATGGCTCTGGCTGCTAAACTACACTGACTGGCTGTCTGAGTCATGCACGAACCAGTAAGGTGAGAATTGGGATGTTCTTGAACTGGGCACTTGAAAGGTGTGGAACAGACTTTTAAAAATCAGCACAAATTTTAAGAAGCTCTGCCCTCGCTTTCCCAAAAGGAAGGCTGCAGTGTGAATCTTGGTACTCCTTCTGGATACTGCTAGCACTGTAATGTTTCTTATGCATTCCACATTGTACATGTGATGACTTTCAACTGCATCGTGGTTTGGCTTAGCTGTTAACATGGTTTATGCTTTGAAAGGTGACAGTGTTGGGGTACATCAAGTAGGTGCCCATCCATCCACACAGGCATAAGGGTTTCCTCTGGCTTGAGCTCCTGAGGTACTGCTTGACTGTCCCTTGACATGCTTATTGTGTAAAATATAGTGGACCTTCAAGTTACAACCAACCTGACATACAAACAATTTGAATTAATTAGGTTAATGGAAGATTCATCTGCCTCTTGTTACCTATAGCGTGTACTGAGGTAAACATCCAGACCTCAGCTGTATTGACTTACAACCAACTTGAGTTACAACCAGCCCCTGGGAACCAATCCAGTTCGTAAATTAAGGGTTCTCTGTATTTGCTGATGCCTGCCCCCTCTGGTGATTCTAGGAATTGCAACTTCAGTGGTACTCCACTCTTTGTTTCTTTTTCCTTCTAACAACTATGTCATCATTCACATTGTTGCTCCTCCCTCCCAAGTAAGTCATCCCCAACCAATTAAACCATTTCTTCTTCCCTGTTATCAACATCTAGCTCTACTACACTCAGAATCAACCTTGAGCCTTTGAAGATCTGAGACTATGTTTCTTCATACTAAATACGTAAAGACAGCTTTTGAATTCTTTTGTTCCCCCTATGAAATTTTTGTCAAGTAGAGACTAAGGAAGGGTTCAGGGTTGCTCGAAAGTTTACAGCTGTTTGAAAAGTGAAAACAATGTCACTCCTTAACCTACAGTAACTACAAAAGTGTGCTTTGATCTGAAGAACAGAAATAAAGAAAGCAGTAGGGCTGAGGATTTAGCTCAATGGTTCTGCCACCTGCCTCGCAAGCCCAAGGTCCTGAGTTTGATCCCTGATATCGAAAGAAAGAAAGAAGGGAAGGAGCAATTGTTTTTTCCTTTATGCACTGATTATTTTCTTGTACTGATTCTAAACTTTCCCAAGAAGATTAGATATACATTCAGTTTTTTAACATACTCCCCAAAATGTTCTCTGACTTCTCTGAAGTAGGTACCAGAGCCCAAAAGGAAAACTGTAACACTTTCTCTATTTGGTAGGTGCTATTAATTCAACAAGAGCAATTGAAAGGCAGCCATGACATTCCCTGCTCAGTGAGGATGCAGGGCTAAATACATGGTTCCTGAGACCCCTGTCAAGATGTCCACTGGATCCGCAGAGACCTGACCCTCCAATTGTGCTGATTGTAAAAGAGCTCTCCCCTGAAATACCTGTTCCCCAGATTTCAGTGGAATTAGAAACACTAGAAACTAGATTCATTGTAAGCTCTTTAACAGTCTATGTTCACCAATGTGGGGTTAGAGGTGGATTTTAAAATAAGCCAGGTGTGTCTTGACCACAAATCAGAAGGCTTTAATTACTGGAGCACCAAAGACCCTGTGAAAAGTCTCCTTTCTCCTTACAAGGAGATTTCACATTAAGGACCTGAAGATAGCAATATAAATAACTTCAACCGCCAACACATTTTAAGAAACACTATTCTGTGGAATTTCCAAACCATTGATTCTCTAGTGCCTTGTAAAATCTCCTTCCTGTAGCATTTGGAGAAAGCCAAGTAAATATCAGAGTTCAAATGCATCTTTAGAGGGAGAACACCTCTAGTAATGAATGTGTTGGCCTTCTAATAGGCCCCCAGAGCTGGTTATGGGGTGCCACTTAAATAGATGTCTGTCTTCCCATCCACTCACCTGAGGACTGAGCCCCTGCATGGGCAGGAGAAAATGATCAGCTCAAAGAGGTGCCAAAACATTTGCTGGAAAATCCTGCCCAATATTGTTTTATTAATTTAACTTTTTACTTCCAAATAGCAGGAAGAATGGCTTTAACAACAAATTTTAAAAGGTACTTTATAATGCTCTGCCTCCTCTCAACTTGCTGTTACAGAAACAGAAAGATGGAAAGATCCAGTGATGCCATGGGAGAAGACCCAGTGGTAACTGAGCTGGGCCAGAACCCAGAGCTCCAGACACACACAGGAGGATAGAGGGAACTAATGTAGGTTAAGTTCCCCAACTAGGTATGATGCAAATCCAAGGCTGCTCCTAAAGGAAAAGTCTCATGACATTTCATGTAAGACTCACAGAGTCAGGAGCAGTACCAAAAAGATGATTCAGGGCCATTTATACCTCTGCAATCACGCCATAGCGTTCCCAATTTATTTCTGCAAACAAGAGCACACATGGCCTTCCCAGGAGGTGTAAGAAATTTTAATTAAAATGATAAATGTCACCTTCAATAAAAAAGCTCTAATATTCCCTGAAAATGAAATAACTATGTATTGCTATTCTGCTTTCCCAGGGCAGCACAGATATTTTAATGACAGTTCTTTTATACATCTCATAAAATTACTTTTGCAAAAAATAGCACTAAGCATTTGATACACTTTTAACAGTGACATTATCTTTACATTAAAAGCTCATACAGGATGTGAAAAGACTCAGGAACTTAACTGCTTGGGTTCAAATCTCTGCCCCACACCTACTGATTGTGTGCAATTGAGCAGGTCCTTTAACCTCTTCATGTCTCAGTTTGCTTATCTGTAAAGTCAGTACTACTGACTTCTTAGAGTTGCTGAAAGAATTAATTGAGCTAGTCCATGTAAATTGCTTAGAAAATATACCTAGCACAAAGTACTTACTGACCTCCTGTAACATGTCAGACTCTTCAATGGCTTTAACAGCAGTTTTCTTAGATGTTTCCTGAACTTCTCCACCTATTATGAATTCATCAAGGATAAAATACGCCTTTTCAAAATTAAAGATAATATCCAGTTCACAGACCTGGTAGGATAAAAACAAATATTTTGATAAACTTGCAGAAATATTAACAGAAACACCAGTGCCTCCAGCTTATCTGACAGTTGCACCCAGGTAACATATTAGAGCTAAAAATATCTACATTAGTCACTTTCCTATCAATGGGATAAAATATACAACACCCACAATTTAAAAGAGGGGAGGTTTATTTGAGCTCATGGTTTCAGAGGGTTCAGTTCATGGTTGACTGGCTCCATAGCAGAAATGCATGTTGGAAGAGCATGGCAGAGGAAAGCTGCTCCACACATGGCAGCCAGGAAACAGAGAGGGAGAAAGGGACTAGGGGCAAAAATATCGCTTCCAGTTCAGGTCCCCTGTTACCCACGTCCTTCAACCAGGCCCCACCTCCTAACAGCACATTCAGCTATGAACTCACCAAAGGATTAATTCACGGGTGAGTACAGCAACCCCATGATCCAACCACCTTCCCAAAGCTGTGTCTCTGAACACATGGGACTTCTGGGGGGACAGTTTAGATCTAAACCATAACAATATCAGAAATTATTTCCAGGACAGAAAAATAAAACCAAGGAATCCAAGCCTTTAGTCAAGTAAAATCACATTCTATTAAAGCAGAGCAGGTCCTTAGGTAATAGTGTTTTGTATCATGAGAAGATATCTATCTGAGGCTCCATAGAGGGAGACTGCCGGGTCCTGCATCCATCTGTACAGAGGAATGCTGGCTCCAGCCATGTCACAGGTAATTCTCCCCTTTGGTCTGGAACTCCTCACTCTTCTCATTCAACTTCACTCAGAAATTCACTCTTGGGAGCAAATCAGCTCAACTGTGCTAATTTTTCTCAAAATTATACCATTGACAAATGGTTCTCAAACTTGAGAGTGTCCTCAGCAGACTCCTTAAAACATACACTGTGACCTCTGTCTCCAGGTGCCTAAAGGGTCAGAGCCAAGAGTCCACACTTGTACAGATTCCCACGGGATGCCAATGCCTAGGTCAGGAGTTAAGAACCACTGTCCCAGGTCACTGCACCAGCCTGACAGATGGTGGTGTGGCAGTGCAGCACACGGCAAAGCCACTCCCCTTATTCCAAACAAGGATCATTTCCAGTGCCTCAAGCAGACAGCTCTTCGGGTGCTATCCATGCTGCCTTCCTCCCTTCTTACACCTCAGCAACTCACTGACACCTGGCTTTCCCTTTCCATCCATACCCAACCTGCCCACTGGAAGCCACTGTCTTTGAGTTGGCTCATTGAAAGTTCCAACTCCCATCACATTTACCTCTCAGCAGCCTTTGATACTACCCACGGGTCTGTTTCTTGAAAATATTTTCTCCCTTGCTCCCTAGCCTTAGCAATAGTGTTTAATGCCTGTTCTCCTCCTCCCCATGTGATGATTCCCTCTCAGGCTCTTTGGATGCTTTTTCTCCCCCTCCCTACGACCATGCATTCTTTTAAGAAGACTAATGGGGCCCAGGGACAGACCAGTCAGCAGAACAGACCACACCTCTGCCACATTATGGCCACAATCTTCTCCTCAAATACTGGTGTTCTTCATCACAGCCTCTTTTCGGCAATATACCTAATTCTCCTGGACGATCTCATTGGTTCTCACAGCTGCGACTAGCACTCGGAGACTAATAATACTAGACAGCTACCTCCAATCTCCACCTGGGCATGAGTCCAGTATTTTCCCCTGTTGACATCTCTACCTGGATATTCCTCAGTCCATACCACCATGTCCCGTACAAACCTCCAGCTGATTCTTTTTCCTCCCGTCCCCATTTTGCTTAGTGGCTGCAAACTCTTTCTAGTTGCCCAATCTACTTAATTCCAGAGCTCATCTTATTTTCTCTCTCCTCTTAGACCTCTCCCTCCCTTGGTCTGGCCCACTCGATTTGGCCACTAAGTCCTACTAATTCCATCACCTAAATAAATCTCTAACCCTTTCTCTCTTCTCTGGTTCACAGCTGCTGAGGCCTGCAACACCTCTTCCTGGGCCCACTGTGATGACCTCTAGCAGAGTTTGTGCCAGCTCGAGGCCATTGCCATCGATCACACACTGGCTAACCTGCTGATCTTGTTCCTCCCCTGTGTGCGGTCTTATGCTCAAGACAAAGGTTAATTCCTCAGCATGGCATACAGGAATTTCCACGACCCTGGTCTCTACTTTCCTGTGCCAGCCTTCATCCCACTCTACGGCCTCCTGGCAGCAACTCACCATGTCCTTTTAGGTCTTCACCTTGGCATATTCCAGTAATTCCTGGGAGGTTCCCCCAAAACTCCCTTCCCTTTATTTACCCACTGGAAAAACTAAGATCACATTTCAAAGCCAAAGTCAGAAGTCAGGGACACAGTGATTCTCCACATCCTCTCTGCCCCATTCCGACGTCATATCTTTTCCTCTAGGTTCTCACACCTTCTGTGCTCTGTTAGGCATTAACCTATGGATCATTAAGCAACCCCCTGAATTCGGAGCTTGGGCCAGAGACCTTGTCTTAGTCACCTTTATATCCCTGGTACCTGGCACATGGTAGGTGCAATAATAATGGACACAGGGCTGCAGAGGAAGTGAAAGAGTTGGCCACCATATGGGCTTTGTTTCTATTCTGCTTGAAATTGAAGGTCTCCCAGATAATTCTCTAATCCTAGTAAATGCTACAACTTTATACAAAATTGGGGTCAATAGTTTAGCAAATTGCTCCATATATTTAGGATTTAGGTCAATAAACTTGTAGCCTCCACAGCGTGGAACATGATTTATGTTGACAGATCTAATTGAATCTGGAAGCATGTAGACAAATGAATTCAATATTATTGTAATAAATGGCCAGCTCAGAAAAGCTCATCTGACTCATTTGCAAAGGATACAGTCTTTTCAGTCACTACAAAACAGAATTAAATCAACAATAAACAAATAGACAGGTATGTAGATAAACAGAGAGATAGACAGCTACAGTTATATCTCCTCCTTCATAAGTATCTCTTATACATTCACACATATATCCATGCACACACACACACACACAAACACACACACATATGGGGCTGATTTTAAAATTTAGAAAATCTACTCACTAGGATATGGCACGATAACCTAGGACTTCCCAACCCATTAAATTTCCTTTATAAGAACAACTTTCAGAGATAAGATAGTATAATAAAAGGCATGTCCTTAGCTTACGTACACTTCCTTTTACTCCTCCCTCCACAAATTTGAATGATTGTGGGAACAAAGCTTTTCAAACAAAAATTTGGAGAGATCAGAACACAGTGTGGGCCATGTACCGCTATATACAAGGTTAAAATCACAGCAACAGACTGAGGAAAATGGTTGGAACATGCAGAAGGGTAGATGGAGGGGAAGGAGACAATACCTATGATACAGAAAGAATTCTTGCAAATCTCTAAGATAAACATCACAATAGGAAAAACAAATAAAAGCTATTAGAAAACAATTCACATACAAGGCATGAATGGAAAATGGCCAATATACATCTAATAAAATGTGCAGCTTCATTAATAATCAGAGAAATGAAAATCTAATTAATGTTCATCTGAAAATTAAAAGATAATATCTATCCCTGGTGGTGGTATGGACAAACATGTATTCACACTCACTGTTAGTGGAATTTATAAATTTTTTAGAATATTTTGAAGGGTTAAATTGTATTTATCAGTTTTAAATGTAAATTTTTGACCCAAAAATGCCACAAGAAATTTATTCTCATGCTATACTCAAATTAGTGCACAATAAAATGTAGTATATGAATAGCAAAAATTATAGAAGCATAGCTCATAATAACAAGCCAAAGTCCATCCATAGAAAGCACTTTCGTGGAGCAGGGAGAGCATTAGGGATTGAACCTAGGTCCTTTGCACTAAACTACAACCTCAACCCTTTTGTTATTTTTCATCCTGAGACAAGGTCTAAGTGGACCCTGTAGAACTGCTTGAATAAAGTTTGCATACTGTCAAAATGGCACGGGGATTCTATGAAGAATTGGGGAAGAATGAAAATTTATATGCACAGATATAGAAAGAGCTTCAAAATGGATCTGTGAGCAAAAGAAAAACGTCACAGAATAATATGCATAACGCTATCCCATTTATTTAACTTTAAAAAAAACTATATAGATCTAGAAGGCTATGAAAAATTTGCATTATTTTGAAGTTTAAAGTAATATAACTAAATAAAAAGAAATCACAGATTAGACATCCACGCACATGAAAACAAGTAGAAGTAAGCAGTTACCAGAGATCAGGAGAGGCAGAGGTTAGGAGTTATAGTAGTGAGAGCAGAGAAACCTCAGATTTCAAGATGAATGTAGACTAGGAGTGCACGACAGACAGGAGCCTCCTTAGGACAAAGCAGCAATCAGAGTCCTGTAGTTTTGGCCTGAGGGCTACTAATGCAAACTCTCTAGGAAGTCTTTACACCCTACGGTGAGCAGAAACCCATTCCCAGGCCTCTAGCATCTTCCAGCAGCCATGGGGCAATTAGCTTACTGCAACTAGCTTCAAGGGATCAAAATGAGGTAAGGTGGTGTGCACAATCAGAAACACACATACATACACACGTGATATACAGTTACTACCTTAGATCATTGAGCAAAATGAAGGCACGAATTCAGTGGCATCATAGGCATTGTTACAAATGAGCAAATATTTCATTTACAACTCCAAAGCGCTACTCTATGGTTATTCTTTGAGTCTAACTCCATCTGAGAATAAGAAGAGATAATATCCCAGGAGAACAGCAGGCAACATTCAAGTTTCTTCAGCTATGCTTAATTATTTATATCTTCTAAATCCCACTTTAAGGTTCTTTCCAAGGAAATAAGAACTTTGCCCTTGATGCTCAAGAGACCCTCCCTGTGATTTCCTCCTCCATGCACCATGTTTATTAGCACAATACCTTTTCCCATGTGTCTAGAATCTGGAATATAGCTTACAAAGTATCTAGCCTTGTGTTCCATTACAGTGTGCCCTAAGATCTTCTTGAATAGCAGAATACATGCTTTGAGGAGATTATTTTTGGCATTTCACCAACTAAATCTTTTTGGATAGTCTAAAAAGCATCTGCCCTTAACTGAATTCTATCCTAAATATAAAAGTTTCAAATCATTTGCAGGAAATGCATCAGATAACAAGAAATTACATAAACACTATAAAGTTGTATATAAAATAAAAAGAATTGTTATGCAAAACACAACTATACAGCAATGAGCAGTTCATAAAATTTTACTGTGTACTCTCTCTTTGACCCATGTATCAGCCCCATGAGGTTAGCAAAGCAAATATTTCCATTAACCTTTTTGAGTGTCATTCTTCTCATCTATAATATGGAGGTAGAGACAGGTCCCAAGTCATGGGTCTGGTTAGTGGGCAGGCTGACAGCAGGATCTGGCAGGATGCATGGTCCTCTTTCTCTTACAGGGGAAAAGCTGCCTACATCAAGTCTGAAAACTCCCTGGGACAGCAACATCCACACACTCTGAGTGCATCAGTGAAAACTCCCACTATACATAATCTATAATGGAAAATATGTCTAAATCCTCACACAGCCCCTTATCTACTGTGAGACTTGGAGGCATTTCCTCTTAGCATCTATAAATTGGGGTTAATGCTACTTACTGAAGATTGAAAGATTAACCAGTTAATCCTTATAAATCTCTTTGGAATTGAAAAGTGCTAAAAAAAAACACATATCAAATTAGTAACCAGAGATTTTGATTTATCTGTCTTCAAAAGATAATATTTTCCAGAGTTAGAAGAAAAGCTCAGTTCAAAATTTTCCCCTGGATAATATAAGGGTAGAATTCAAGGAAACCTTTGGTATTAGCACAAGAGAAAAAGAAAACCAAAGAGAAATGTATTATTCCTAAGATGATATCAATGCGAATCACACTGGAAGCCTTTGCTCATCCAGTTAATTAATAAGAATTGAACACCTACAGGGCATAGAGCCTTGAAGTGGTCTCAGCTGCTCTTAGCTTAATGAAAGATTCATTGAATTTTTTGGTAAATTAAATTGTGGTTCATGACAAAGACAGAGCGTCTAAAGCTACACCAGAGTGGGATGGAAAATTAAGGTTAGACAAGTAGGAATTCATTCTGAGTCTGAGGGCTTTCGTATTGGTGAAGGTTATTCAAATCCTCTCAAGAAGTAAGGTACCCTGAGATATTTGGTTGAACTTAGGTTAGGCACATTGAAATAAAAATTCAGCCTCAATTCCTGTTTTCAGTTTTTTGTTTGTTTGTTTGTTTAATATAGGAAAACAAAACAGGCCAAACCAGCATTTAGAAATGAGCGGGGAGAGACAAGTTATGGGGAAGCTTGGACTTTGCAAAACCCCTCCAGGCCCTTGCAAAAGGCTACATCTGCAGTTTACTTCAAAGAAAGGTACCAAAATATCAGAATTTATTTCAATGAATGAAAGCACTTAATTAAATAATATTACCTGTGAAAATATGCTAGCATGTATTTGCAAATTTCTTTAGAAAAACTTGGTGAAGGAGGAAAAAGAGAAAGAAGAGATGGCATAGCTGTCTTATTACTTTTATATATTGACTAACAACTGAAATCCCTGTGGCACCATTTTAAGTCTTATCATTTACAAGGAAAAAAACAGAAAGAAGGAGACAAAATTATTTTTTTTGAGACAGGATCTCACTATGTAGTTCAGGCTGGCCTCGGACTCACCCTATGTAGCTCAGCCTGGCCTTGAACTCACTGAGATCCTGCTGCCACAGCAAGTGTTGTGATTATAGGCATGCAACACCACACCTGGTGAGAAAATTCTTTATAAATCCTTCCAGTGCTCAGCCTTATGGAAACTGTTGGAACAAGTCTGATAAAACCACAACCAATACTTCAAAATCTGTTCCTTCCATTAAGAGGACACAAAAAATTCTTCTGAAAGTAAATTCTCCTAACACTTGATAAAATTTCACTTGAAAGCAAATTCACTTGATTAAAAAAAAGTCTTCAATGAAAAAGGGAATCAAGTAGAGAATATTGCTGAGAAGAAAATTATTTTCCAAATCTAAGGACTTATTTTTTGAAATGGTGAAATGAATTAAATATTTCTAGAGTACCTGCTAAAATCTGACCCAAAACAGGTTATAAGCAGTAGGGGAAAAAAACCCGTAAGTCGCAGATCACGACCTCAGAGACTTACACCTTGGCGGCCAGGCAGCTGTGTTGATTAAGGATGTTACTCAGCAACCTAAATCTTGGAGCACAGGCTATCTTAGTCTACGCAGGGGGAAACAAGGTTGGGGTGTGGTCTAGGATCAGTGTTTTGAAAGCTTAAATGCCAACCTAGAAGGTTTGAATTTTATTCATGACAGGTGATCAAATGTAACTGTGAAGGAATGCCACAGCTAGATCTATGCTTTGTCAGAAAGATGGCAACTAACAGCCTAAGAGGAGAAACAAAAGAGTCGGCAGGCAGAAAAGCCAAATATGAAAGCTTTAGAAAGAAGCAAAACCGAAATTCCACATAAATCTATACTAGTGATAGTAGAAAGGAGATGAATTTTAGTCTAATTTGAATACAGAAAGGTAGATTCCAGTAGTGGGAAGAGAAAGGCAAAAGAAACTGTCTTTTTGCCTGGGAGGACCCTGTATCATAGTAAATTTCAACAAGATGGATCAGATTTTAAAAGATGAATCTGGTTCTTCACCATGAGCAGCTTAGTGAAGATCATCACCAGTGAAGAGAGGAGCCACCTGGCAAATGGTTTCCAGAAGAGTCAGTCGTCACACCAGGAGGGGAGGGGGAGAAGTAGGATATGTTAAAACTGAGAGGAGGAAGGGAGCTTGGTGGAAGAAGCCAAGGAGGAGCCTCCAGATTTATAGGACACGAACCTGCAGTGATCAGTGCCACAGCAAAAAAAAGAGGAGAGAATTTAAGAAAGCACTTCGATGAGCAAGGATGCAGTGCTGGAGAGGGGAAAATGTAAGAAATGTCAGTGGTGTGGATCATTCGGGAAGCCTCAGTGGTAATGTTGTGATCTCCTTGGAATCTCCATGTTTTGAAGATTAGGGCAGCTATAATATACTCTTGGGGTATATTGGGGTATAACTTGGAAGTCAATGCAAAAAAGATTACAGAATAGCACTGGGAAGGGATATGATTTGGGGATTTTGGTATTTTTTCCTTCTGTATTAATAATATTAAAAAATATTTAGCTTAGGAAAAAAGAGAGAGAAGAGAGAAGAGATAAAAATTCAAAATAGAAAAGAGATGACAAAGCTAATGAAGAATGAAAGAAAAATAATCAAGAAATCCTTCACAGTTAAATTCAGATTCACTGAAAGTCTCCAGTGAATCTTTGCTAAGAACTTCACTTTGGGAGAAGAACCCATATTCTGATCTAAGATGGACAAGCATAATCACTGATACAAATGCAATTCATATTTTAGACTCAGAGAGAGAAGGAACTGAGAGATGGAACTGAAGAGCTGAGATGAAGACTGTGCCTGATCCTAACAGACCAGAAGAACACTTACATTTCCAAAGTATTTGTCCAGCAACTCCACATAACGATGCACAATCTCTAGTGTCAAGAGCTCATTGTCTTGATTTTCTACTGCACAGCAAAAATATAAACTAGCATACCTTGAAAAGAAAAACATAAAGAAAGCAAATAGGATAAGACATTAAATAACCTACAGATGGGTTTTCCTGATGAATACGCAAAGTCAGCTCCTCCTCCAGATTCTCCCCATCCAAGAATGAAATCATCATTCCCCACATCAAATATCCTCCCCAAATATAAACCAGAATATATAAAAATATTGTGGTAGACAGGTCACTTCTGTTAATTACATGCAATGCTGTCAACAAAATTTTACTTTGAAAAAAATCTATGATCAGGGAGACAGTATCCTCTGGCCCATGGATCATACCTCTTTCCAGCTTATAAACTGGCCTTTGTAAAATCCAAGCCCCTGAGCAAGGCTCCCAGTAGCTGGTGCTGCCCACCTTTTTGCTCTGCATTCTAATGTGCCACCTACCCTCAATGGATCAAGCTCTAAGATTGGGCCCAGCATGGGAAGCTTGCCCAGGAGCCTGTTGGTAACTCACTCCATTAATATCAGTCGCAGGGTGCACCTCTGTTTTTCCCACGGGGTTTTATGAAAATCCTCTGCAAGGATATTTCCGGTGTATCTTTTTTTCCTGGAAGCTGTGGTTTGATGCTAGATGCAGGGTCAGGCTGGTCCCAGCTGAGGCATCAATTACCTGGGTCTTTCTGGGTAAATCTCTCAGGCCTCAATTTTCTCATTTATAAATTGAACTCCCTGTCTAGTATGGTCTTGCCATGTCAACCAGGTACAATAAAAATAATATGTAGGCTTTAAAGCCAGAAAGACCTGGATTTGAGTTCTGACTCTACTAATTACCACTCAGTCACCATGACTGAGGACTAATTACCTAAACTCTGGGTCCTCAGTTTACCATCCACAAATGTAAATAAGTACAATAAAAGTTGTCCAATGAACAAAGTCTCCATCTTTCTATCTACCAACTTGCATTTTTCTGCAGCATTCGTGGCTAACTGAAAAGATTTTATCTGTTGACTTAACAAGTAAACACTCCATAAAAGCAGGAATGTTACAGGTCTTGTTCACTGCTCCACCCAGAAATGAAGACAATGTCAGGAATGTATTCAGTGCTCATGAAACATTTCTCAAACTCATGTATGCATTATCAATATAGCTTATGTATTTAGAATCCATCCTAACACACTGAGGTCATTTCAGTAAATGAGAATTCCTTACTCATTAGTCTGTTGGTAAAAATATTGGGGCCCAGGCTTCAAAAATTGCAGGAAATGACAGAATTGATCTTGTAATCTAAAATGTTTGGGATTAGAACAAACCAAAGCAATAATGACAAATTCCATTCTCATAAAGTTACTCACACCTTTTATAAACCAGTTTTAGCTCCTTCCAGTCAATAAAACTGCTTGTCCTATAACCACGAGAGAGAATAATCTGAATGATTTCCCTGGTGATCTTTTTTCTCTCTTTGTCAGGGAGGGTGGTGTACCATTTCTGCAGCCGCAATTTCCCTTGTCGACTGAAGAGCAATATGAATTGTATCTAGAACAAATGAAGGGCAGGGAAAAACATATGGTCAACAATCATTCTGCATAGACAGAGAAGTTCAGTGTCTGCGTTTACATAGAAATATAAATCTGAACAGACGAGAAAATATTTATCAGCATGAGAACCATTCATCTGATAAAATTATATTTAATCCATCAGAGAGGAAAAAAAGAAATGTGCATGTCACAAATATATCTTTCTTTTATTATAGAAGGAAGATAATTTTTAAGTTTGAATTCCTTTCAAGAGTTGTAAACACATTAAGGGATAAAAATGTATCAAGAAAATAGTAGTACACTGAAGAAAATATCAAATTCTTCCTTTGCAAGGAAAAGAAAGAAAGAAAAAGTTAATAGTAGGATTTGCTTTAAAAATTACATTTGACCTGGGCTTCATGGAGCACTCTGGGAGACTGAAGTAGGAAGATCACAAAAGTTCAAGCCCAGCCTGGGCAATTTAGTGAGAACCTGTCTCAAAATTACAAAAAAAAAAAAAAAAAAAAATTTAAGTGGGGCTAGAGATTTAGCTCAATGTGAAGGGCCTGGGTTCAATTCCTGATGTATATATATAGTTTCATATCACAACTATAGAAATGTAGTGAATATAGAAATGAAGAAAAGAAGGAATGAAAGTAAGAATAAAGAAAGAGGAAGAAAGCAAGAAAGGGTTCTAATCTGTCTTAAATGTAAGCTCTTCATTCACTCTCTTCATGGGTTGCTTGGCTAAAATTCAACCATCTCAAATTACAACTGTCTCTGCCATCGCAGAGTATTAACAATTTAGAAGATGTGCTGACTACACTAGGAACTGACCTGATTTTATTTTCAAGTAAGTTTCAAAATATCTTTGAAGATTCAGATTCAAATAAATTTCAAAAGTTTCAATGAAAAGAAGACCTTGTCACATCCAGAAATTTACTTTGGTTCCTTGAAGGTATGGTAGGTTTTATTTTCAGTAATTGTCAAATGACCTGATCTTCATTTTATAAGAGATTAAGGTTTCTCAACCCATAGTATTAGAAGGTCAAGCTTTAAAATCATAATTAAAATCATAATCATAATTAAAATCATAACATCATTCATTAAAATCAAACATTTTAAATTTAATCATAATCATAATTTTGTCCAGCTTTTGTTTTTTGAAAAATAAAATGCATTGTTACAGATAATTGTGTCATGAAGAAAAAATATACACTGAAAATAAAAAGTAACTACATTAAACAACTTTTTGCAAATATAATATTCAGCTCTTTATTGAAGAGGTTTAGCTCTGAATGTCATAAGAGCCATGACAACTCACAAGGTGGCAACATCTGAGTGGCAGATGAAACAAAGCTCTTTAGCCAGGGCCCTCCCCCTACCCCAACCACAGAATTGGAAGTCTTCTTAACACCTAACCTCCTGTCTTAGAAAGGAAACATCTGTTCCAGCAAGGATCCAAGAACCAAGACACCACGGATGATGAGAAACCAAGTTTAAAAGCCCTACTCAGTCAGCAGCTTTAAGAAAAATCACCCTCAGTCTGAAATTTTAAATATCTGCTTACAGTACAGGATTTTCTTAAATACCCAAGTCACTGTCAACATGGGTATAAATAATTCAGTAATGGAACACAGTTACAGTTTCCTAAGAATCACATCGAGAAGGGTATTTTTGCTTCCAAGAAGAGATGCCATGAAGATAAGCATCATTCTAACACTGAATGGTTAAAAGATCAAAAACCTCAGGATCTTGAAAGTAAGGCTCAGCTTGGATCACCGCCAAAAGATGAAACTATAGAATCCATCACTTGGTGAATGGTCAGATTCTTACTAGAGAAATGAAATCCACACATTTGCTAGGTGTTCCCTTTCACTGCCTATAAGACATATTTTTTCATTCCCATGTATCCTAAATCTCTTGTGGTAAAATTTAAATCAATTTTTCTTGATTTCATCCACAGGGCACATATAAAGAGACAGTATCACTGTCCTTGCAATATTGTATACCACTATCTTTCACATATTTGAAGACAGCCTTCAAAGCTTCCCTTAGCCTTTTTCTTCCAGAAGAAATAATCCGGGTTTTAGACTTTCTCCTTATTGGTTTTATGGTTTGAATCTTAAATGTTCCCCCAAAAGCTTATATGCTGAATGCTTGGTTCACAGCTATGGCACCATTAGGAGGGGGAAGAATCTTTAGGAGGTGAGGCCTAGTGGGTAGAAGGAGGTCACTGGGAGTGGGCCTGGAAGGGTACATTGGGACCCGAGGGGGCCTTGGTCTCTCTTTCTCTCTCCCTCTCCCTCTCCCTCTCTCTTTCTCCTTCTGGCCACCATGAGATGAGCAGCTCTCCTTTACCCTGCACCTTCCAAAGACAGCTGACTTACACAGGTTCTGTATTTGGATTTCATAATTATCATGTTGAGCATCCTCTGGGATTCTCCATAGGCTAAACATTATTTTAAACCCAGATTGATACTCAAAGTTCTATTGAGAGACAGGAACTGTTTCTAAGGTTAACGGTATCTTCCTTTCTAGTTTTTATATGTTGCAAACATATCTCAGGATCAGATGCCTGTGCTGACGTGGATCAGTGAAGTAGAATGATGAACAAAGAACAGTTTTCACCCTAGCAGTGAACTCAAAGTAGAAAATCAGGACCTGATATATCATAAGTCTGTGTAAAATACAAAACTGTGCTACATGTTCAAAAGAAGTAACAAATAAACTCACAGTGATCCAATAAATGCATTGCCTAGGACATGGCTGGAAAGATCTAGCTCCCCACAAGCTCTGCTCTGATAAGAACTGGGCTTGTGCTAGAGTGCCCGTTCTCTCTCCAGACTTCCTGGTATAGCCTGAGCAAGCCCGCAGAATGAAATATAGCAATTCATGGGTTCATCACCTCTAGCGATTAATTTTATCCGATCCATCAGTTTAGTCATTCAGGGCACATTTGACTAATATGTTTCAAGAGGTTATTCAAATACTGTTTTTCATTAGCATTCGCTTAAGAGTAGGGCAAAAAAAGCAAATGGGAGATTTTTTCCAATATTTGCAGAGTCAACTTCAAGTCAATGTCAAAAATAAACTCCACCTGAACTCAGAAAACAACACCCAACATTCTCCTTCAGTAATATAGCTGGGGGGAAAAGGAAGCAATAGAATGACTGTCCCATGAAATCTAACCACATGTGCACAGGTGGGTTCATGTTCTACATTTGGCTCCAATGTTTGCCTCAGATGGGCACCATCACACCTCCCATCCTCAGCCCAAGAGGAGCCATTTGTGTCAGCCACCATTTTGAAGGGTCTGGTTGTCCCAGGTGACTCCTCAAATCTAAAGATGTCAGGTGAATGAAACATTCCTTGTCTTCATTGTGGCTACTAGGGCAATCTTCAACCTCACCGGGCAGAGCCCCAAATCTCACTTTGACCTGGAAGTAGAACTACCCTGGGTGCTTTCTTGTTACATTTCTAAAGCATGTCCAGAGAGGCACCATTAGGTCTCTGAGGGAAGCACAAAGCAGACTAGTACTGAACCAGTGTTAGCATCTTCTTTCTAGTTGAATATGTATAGTGAAGACTCTAACAGCACTTTTACTTCTTAATCTTTGCATATCTTCTGGCTCCTAACCTGGATTCATTAAATGGGTCAGCATCTGAGAAAAGAGGAATCCAGAAGTTTGTCCCGGTCCCAAGACTATCACACCATGGACACCACCTTCTCAGGACAAGCTGGCATTTCAGGATCTGAGCCCTGAATATAGTAAATACAAAAAACACATTCCTCTCTTCCTGTGGCAGGACCCTTCTAGAAGGAATGTGGCCAGGACTCTCCCAAAAAAATGCAGTGGGGGCCTTGTCAGAACAAAGACAACATGACATAATTAGTTCCTATGTACCCATGTATAGTTCCAGTATGGCTCTATAACATAGATTGGGCCCAATCCGGCTACAGATTGTTGGTGTGTTACACTATAAGGGAGACAAAGACACAAGAATTCTGTGAAAGGCAAAAGTCTGTGATGCTCATGCTCAGGGCTCAACCTTTAGACGTGAATCCACGTGAATCCACTGAGTCACTGCCGGCACAAATAAACTCACTTCCTGGAAAGAGCCTTTGTTCCGTCTCTCTCCTCGAGAATCCTGCTACACTCCCACTTCATTAACCTGACAGGCCCTCTCCTCTGGTGGCCTGGATCATATGACATATCTTAAGCAACACTATTCCTCTGATCTTCACCTCCTGGGTTCTTTTTCCTGCCTCTATAGCAACTCTGCAAATTCCCAGCCAGGGCTGGACTGGCCCATCCATTCTGATCTTTCTTCCACACCGAGACACTCCTGAGAAAAATCACAGAGGACTTCACAGGTTGGGGCCACGGCAACTGTGTGGTTGCCCAGCTCAGCTGAATCTCCAGAGATGCTTGGACATTTCCCAGGAACCTCCAGATGTAAAGAACCTCCAATCATGTGCTCTTCTCTTCTCCTCGGTTACACCATATTGTCACCCCAGCCCCTCACAGTCCCGACATCCATCCTCACTTCCCCATCTGAGGAGAGAATAAAGCCATTCTGGGGTTTCTTCAGCTCCTCCCAAACTGGCATACCCATCCCTGACCTATTTTCTTCCTATCTTGAGGAAAACAACATCTTCTCATGTCCTGGCTTTCAACACTCACCTGCCTCCCTGGGAGGGTGACTCCATCATTTCTACACTGCCAATCTATGTCCATCTTCTCATTACATGCAGCTGCTGAGAACCCTGAATCTCTTATCTTTAAAACACAGTGGTCCTCTCTGGAACTGTAGCTTTCCTAAAAAGTGACTGGACAGTAAATGTCAAAGACCCAGGGCTGGGGATTTAGCTCAGTGGCACCACCCCTGCTTCGCAAGCACAAGGTCCTGAGTTCGATCACCAGTACCAAAGGAAAAAAAAAAAAAAGACCCTGTAATTCTATTGCTAAAACTTATCTTAAAATCTGTCTTAAGATGAAGATAAATATTTAAGCA